GGACGACGGAAGTATTGGTGCAGGCGTAATTATACCAAGATTCCAGAAAAGTCCGCCAATGTGCGAATACCAAAAACTATTCCTGGCGGAAGTCTTCGCAATCGCAGCCTGTGTTCGAGAAATATTGGGTATCATGCATAAAAAGCGAGTTTAAGCTCCTACTCAATTTTCAATACAAAGTCTTGAGTTTGAGCTCACTTCATCAGTTCAAAAACTGAGTCTGGGCTTAAGCTTACTATTATGCATGAGGCCCATCTTGACGGATAGACAGGCAGTATTAAAGGCATTCGACTCATTTAGAACGACTTCAAGGCTTGTGGACAGTTGTAAAACTCGCTTGTACCGCCTAGGGGCCCACAATAGTGACGCGGTAGTGGGTCACTGGACCTGAAGGCTTTGAAGGCAACGAAAGTGCTGACTATCTCGCAAAACGTGGAGCCCAAATGCGCTTGCATGGTCCCGAACCTAAAGGATACACTGCAGAGCTACTTAGAGCTGGGAAGAATCTCAAATCGCTGCCAACTGGCGGGAGTCAAATGGGAATGAGGCACTCAAAAAAAATGCATATTTCCTTCCAGGACGAACTCCGAACGACTTCTTGAGCTTAGCCGGGAAGGTCTTACAACTCTTACAGGCTACCTGACAAGACACTGCAAGTAAAGGTATTGTTTCCCATAATCATCGGTACAGCAGACTTCACTTCAAAGGCCTAATGCAATAAAACTTTATACAGATGACTCTGAACTAGAAGGAAGAATAAGAGAAGGAGTTTCTCACCTAAACCGGGGGGTAGAGATATCCAGCATTATGCATTGCATTCAACTTATCTGGGTGCTAGGCCAGCAGGATATTGAGGGTAAAGCTGAAAATGAATATACAAGTAAATGTATGACCACCAACATGCTATCGGGAAAACACCCGGTAGGTATGCCAATGACCACCTTTAAGCATTTTTTTTTAGAGCAAACACCATTTCAGTAGCAAATAAATGCAGGAATAAACTCGTACGTGTCAACAAAATGGTTGTACCCGAGTGAACTTTTTTGAGCATCGAAAGAGATTGGTAATAAGTAATAGGTATAAAACATATGCAGGTGATCTAGGTATATATGTATATTGACGTAAGTGTTTGGAAAATTTACTCTCCAATTATCCGATACCTAGCCTAATATTATATCTTCTTGACTGACACTTTAATGACGGTTCTTAACTTCTCGGTGACATATCGTAATCTCTCAGATTTAGTCGCAAAAAATCTTTGGCCTCTTTTTTTCCCATTAGGCGAGTTTTGACTTAGAAAATTTAGCGTTAGCGACCTTACCTTTAATCATGTTACAGCACAACTTTGCCTATATTGCAAAAATACGAGTATCTATTTATTTTAATTTTTTTTTACTCAATTATTAAACTTACTGTTTTTGCACTTTATTTTATTTTATCAATTAAAACATTGCGTACGCTTAAAAATTATTTTCGTTTTATTATTACATAATATATTTATTGGAAATTTAGTTTTTTTTTTCTTCGTCTTAATTTGCAACTTAATTATTTTTATTTTGGTTTTCGGTTTTACTACTACTACATAGTTTAATTACAATTACTAGATATAATTAAATTACCACCGCACGTTCCTGCCTACGATTTGTTCAATTTGTTTGGTTTTGGTTTTTGTTTTTGCTTTGAGTTTCTTGTTGTTTTTTGTTATTTGTTCGCTTTTGTGTTGTCATTTTTTGTTCTTTGCTATCAAATTAATTACATAATTATATTTTGCCTTGTTTGTTTGCTTTTTGCTCTGTTATTGCTGATTGATGTTTTTGTTATTCTTATGAAATGTCCAATGTCAAAGTTAGCGCTAATAGTTTGGTTTAATTAAGCATTTCAATTTGTATGAATGGAGAATTTTTGCATTTTATTTGATATTTGCTTCAAAAACCCAATTTTTGCGAAAAACACAATAGAAAAAAAAAACATTTTAATTAAACAAGGAACCAATAAAAATACTAATTGCATTGTGTCATTGCAGTGGCTGATGTTGAACTACATATTTCTTAAACACAATTAATTTTTTTTTTTGTAATTTAGGAAAGCCTTTTGAACTAAACGGTCACGTAAAATGGAATAGACACAGACAACTTTTCACAATGTATGCAAAAATTTTTCGTCCGCAAACTTTTTATAAAAATATGATTCATACTACAATAAAAAACATGAAAATTAAATTTCTAAACTTCGCGCAAACTCAATAAATTTTCTTAAAAATTAGCCCAATTAATTTTGATATAATAAAGTGCAAGTTCGAAGTAGCTATAGAACTTAGCGTTGATTTTCGGCAATTTTTTGCTGGCGGTGTTGTGCAGTTTCTTCCATATAGTCGAAAATACTTCCTAAAATTTATTAGGCTACAAAACTGCTTAATGATCTTTTTTTTAAACTGATTAGAAATTTGCATGTTATTGAGTTTTAGTGTTACTTACTAAGTGACTAGTAAACAGTTTCTATTTTATAAAATAATTTTATAGCGTTTCAATACAGGAAAAAATTTATTTTTATAAAAATTTAGCGGAAAAAATTTTAAATAAAAAAGTGTGCGTACTTTGTGAAAAATTCTCTGTGCCTATACTTTTCTCCATGACTGGTAGCAGCTGATAAGCGTAAGTGTAATAATAAAGCTATAAGTATAGATATGTATGTACGTATTTCAATGGAGGACTATTTTTAATCAGTCTGTGCCTTAGACTTTCGAAGATATTAATGCGGTTGTTATTTTTGTAGAAACTGTATTGCATTGGCTTGTTTAAAACAAGTTGTTAACAACAGCATTAAACACAGGCTGTTTGTAAAGAAAAATTACAAATTGTCTGCTGGGCTAACACTGCCAGTAAGGTTCAGAAGTAGGGTGTTCGATTATTAGCCTTTTTTCAAAACCGGTTTTCAAGTTATTCGAAAAATTGCAATTTCAAAAAAATCCGGTTGCTGATTTTAAAATTAAGAAAAAACCGTATAAGCCGGTTTTATTTACTTAGTCTTCATACAGTGAAAATGCTTATTTTGGTATCAAGTCATGACCAATTCAAAGTAATTTTGTATATGGAAAAGAGTGCATAACACCGTCAGAAAAAAATTATCAAAAATCAAAACGGTTTTTTAGCAACTTCAAACTTGCTCTTTATTATACAAGAATTTAATAATTCTAGAAATAAAAATTAAAATTCTTGGAATTGGGACGAAAAGTTTGTGCAGTTTTTATAATTTGTGTACAAAGTCTGAAATTTAGATTTATATGGTATTTGTTAGATAAAGAGCTATACTTATACATATATAAGAATAATGGACTTAAAAAAAAAAGCAAAATAAAAGTAGTTAAAACCAGTAAAAATATTGATGTGCTATCTTTTGTCGCGGGTGTATTATCTTATAAGACTTGCTAATGGATAAATGTGGTAGCATTGTGCCTGTGAATTTCCACACCACGGAATCGCCAAGAAACAGTTTGAACTTTCGGGAACGTTTCCAAAGAGAACAAAATGAGAACTAACTTATCAAAAACGTTTTCAAGGAGGATCAAATTAGAACAAAAGTCTGGGGAATGTTTTTCTAGAGAACAAAAGAGTTGGGAATTTAAAGTTAAAAAATTGAGGCCGGCGTCGGTGTATTGGGATAAAAAATTATTTCAATGAGAGCCATGAATGTTAATTCTAACCCAGAGGAAAGCTGGATCATTTCGATTTCCAGATCGTTTATTATTAGTGCGCACTCTCCATTTATGAAACAATTTTTCATTTTCTGTGCAAGTAAAGCTCGTGTCGTAAGTCTTTCGTTGACTTAATGTGCATAATTATCTTTTAGTTCCTCTTTGATTAATTTTAATATACAAACTTTTCAAGCTAATGGAACGCAATGAGAAAAATTATATTCTCGTCATTTCTGCACATTTGCAAAAAGGCTGGTGTTTACTCGTGAAAGTGGACTTTCGCTTTAGTACTTTGACAGCAAAATGCGTAGAAAAAGCGCTTGCATTTCCACGTTCAACCGCACTTTAATTTTTAATATTTTTCCGAAAGTCTTAAAATATACACCCCTATTGCGAGTGTCGAATAGTAGTAGATAAACGACTCTTATTCGATTATCGCTTTTCCATGGTATTGTGAATGTCAATTTCTCGTCCAACAAGCGACTGTGAATAGTTTTTTATCGCTCATCCTTCTACAAACAAATAGTTGTAGAAAGATGAGCGACTATTCACACGCACTTATTGAACGAGAAAAAGACTTTGAAAATGCCACGGATAATCGATAATAGACTAACAATCGTTTATCTACTACTAGTCGACACTCCCAATAGGGGTGATAACAATTTTTTAATGCCAATAGTGATCCACCTTAACGGACATACATATACTGTGCTCTGCAAAAGTTAGGACTCACTTTTTTTGTATTTGTCGCTTTAATTATTGTCATCATCGTAGAAGAAACACCCCCATACGTTTACCGATCGCAACAATGGTTTTTTAGCATCGACCGGTCCATACAAACCAAAACGATTTTTCCAAGCGAGTCCAAACTTTTGCAGGGCAGTGTATGAATATATAAATTTTATTTTGAATCCTTTCACAGTTTATTTCATATTAATATTTCAAGTTAAGTAAGTTTTTATTTACATAATTTAATTATCTTTATCAAAAAATTCCACAACTGTGATTGAATAAAAAAATATATAAAAACTACAATATTCAATATTCAATTAGAATGGCAAGAAGGGGTAGCAAGTCCGCGTAGCTGCTATAATGTCTACACAGAGGGGTAAATCTCTTGCAGGATGACGCCAGTAGATAGGTATTTGCTTGACTTTCGGCCACAAATCCTGTGACGCGTAAGTGTAGCCACTTTTTTAGGCAATTTAAAGAATATTGCGAGGCTAACAGAAACTATATTTTGACCTTAACCTGAAAGTTTGTAAATAAAATAATGCATTGAAATAAAAATACAAAACCATATTTTTGATAATTTAACATTGTTTATATTAGATAAAGAAAATCAGAATATTACAAAAACAAAATACATATGTATACAGTAAAATCAATAAACATACATATTTATAAAAACTTAGTCAAAATAAAATCAATAAGTAGTGTAAACAATTATAACTTATTTTAATGCAATTTACAATGTTAATATTTACTGTAAAGGGTAGTAGAATAAAGAAAAAAATTAATATATAAAAAGTAAACATAAAGTACTTAAAAGTACAAGTTCATATATAGAACAAAATTTAAAATTCAAACCGAAATTGTTTGCTCAATACATATATGACCCAATTTGATACTTAGACGCACTCTGGAATAAGGTAAGAATAACCTAGTGATAGAAAAAAGAATTTTCTAAAAAGAAAAACTTGAAACGACTTTTATCGCAGGGACGAGAGAGGTGGAGGAAGCCGAAAACTTACTCGGGACTCATCCGTTGTCCCACGATTAAAAATCTTTCATAAAGTTTTCTTTCAGTGTCTAGCGGCACTTGCCTCTGTGGACATGCGCAATCATCAAATAGGAACGTGCCACTGGAGGCGAGGGGCAACAACCGAAGCCAAAAAACTACATATTATCAGCTATTTTAAATCGAGTAAATACTAACATTGTAAATAACATCTAATTATGATTAGAAAAACGTGATTGGTATACATTATAGGATGAGGTCTATAGTCAGCACGTTCGGATATTACATAAATAGGTAAAAAATCGGAACATTGAAAATACATACATACAAATATGTTTGTTTGTATGTATGTTAATACAAAATTGTTGTACAAATTATACAATTAACTAGCAGTGAGTAGTTTGTAAACAGTAAATTGTTGATATGTATGTATGTTTTTGTTTTCATTTTCGTTTTCGATTAACTCAGTATTAGTATGTAAATAATATCGTTAAATAATTGTCTGTCTTACCAAACAAGTATGGCTTACTGAAGCGCTATCGGAAACGGACATTGTTAGAATATAGTGACAATATTAAAACTTTTAAACTTTTTTTGAGCAAAAGTTAAATTTACTTCTTGATTTTGAGGCTTTGTTCTAAATTTGTTTTCCAAACAAAAACGTTTGTACGAAAAACGTAGGCTTGGGACATGGTACAATAATTAATTAATAATGGTACAATGGGTTTGGGATACTTTTAATAATTTAATTTTCAGGACAAAGTGTGATAAAAAAAATTTCGTAAGACAGACTAGTCAGTTATACACATGTATATACTTACATATGTACATACATATGGAAGTGTAAATATACCACGCAAAAGGCATGTGCTGGCGACAAAAAAAAACAATTTAACAGACTTAACTAAATCTGCTATACATTTGTAATTAATACATTTAAATGTAATTATTTTTTACTTTTTCTTATTAACTTAGCTTGTACAAAGAGAAAATAGTTGCATATATTAAACAAAAAAGAGAACAACAATAAAAAAACAATAATCTTCCTATTAGGTATTTAGTATGTTTGTTTTTTTTTCGCATTGGTACATTGCCAATTGGGCTTTAGAAAAAGCTGTCTCAATATTTTGTTTTAACTCTGATTAAAATAATAGATTTCACCGGCCTATAAGTAAATAAGTAAATATTTCGCAGTTTATAACGCAAAAAAAAAAATCAGTTCATGGGGTTATTCGAGTATGTAGTAGAATATTTCGAGAAAACAAAAACAACAAGGCATCAAATATGGTTTTAGCGACATACTCGTTTTAGTGTGTAAAAAGAAATTCAAAACATATGAACTTATTAAAGGGAAAATATGCATTTAAAAGTGTACAAATAATGTGTAAGTATGTACGATTTATGTTGTGGCTGTTCAACATTTAAGCAGTCGCCAATGTGTCGATTTCACCGAGTATCCCCTATATAATTTCAGTTACAACATTAAATATGTATTCGAGATATGGTGTTATGCTTTTGAGTAATTTCAAAGGATAGCATTATTTTTTAAAATTAATATCATATTTGTGGAAGCATAATTATTTAGCATAAAAACCATTTCTCAGGGGCTAGCAGACCCGGTGTGTGGACTACTTGCACTTCTGTTTTGCCAAGTAACAAAATGTTTGGCATCTAATTAGCGAACCATTAGCGAAATTTGTCGTTTGTAAAGATTTAAACAAATTACTAATGAAAATTAATAATATCACTCGCTTTAAATTTAAAGTCAATGTGAGGGAAGCATCATATTTTTCTGCTTAGTCATATGCATTTTTTTTTATAGCTGCCTGCAATTTCTTCAAGATGTATATATGTATGTATGTATATATGAGCATATGTGCGGGAGTATGTAAGAATAAATGTTTGTATGAATATACATATATATGTATGTTAAGTGTATATGTGTGTACATGTAAATATGTGTTTATAAAAAGTTACTTGTGACTATAAGTATTGTATGTGGGTATATGATTTGGTTCACGTATTCATCGTCGTTGGATTGATTCGTTCGATTCATTGGTAGGTCCATGAGCGTGACTTTACATTAATTTTCCAGATTTTCGTTTATAATAGTTTGTTGCTTTAAACGTTTTACATGTGTTTTAATACATAGCAACACTTTTTTAATTGTTTTCATTTTGCTTGTTTTGCTACAATTTTTTACGCTTACATTTAATTAGAATTTCTTACATTTTTCGTACGTTTGATATTAATTTACTTGTTTTTTTTTTTACATTTTGTCGTGGGAAGTTACACCAATAAAGAAGCAAATAAAAGAATACAAAGTAAGGAATGCATGTAGATGATTTTAGGTCAAGTGGGTGGTCAACTAAAAAGTTATAAGACATACATATACATATATGAGATACAATTTCTGTGCGCAACTATGCATTTTCGAAGACATTAGCAAATGTATGAATACATAGTATGCTTATGTGTGTGTTTATATATGTATGCAAGTGCATAATTGCAATGTACGTCGATTATAGATGAATATACATATGTGTAGATATAGTACGCTTGTAGGTAACTATGAAATGCTAAACGGTTAAATACGATCACCATGAATACATTTATGTTGTTATATGTACTTGTTAAAATTGGTTATACAAATGATATCAGCTCATTAGCATGCCAAAAAATATGTATGTGAATATTCGAGTGTGTTTGTGTGTATCGTGTGTTCTATTCAAGCTCAAATATGTATCATATGCGTGTTTTACACCTTAACCGCGGTGGCGCCGACAACGCGTGTCAGTAAAATTCGAAACTACTGCCAAGTTTTAGCGCTTGCGAAATTCAGTTTTGATTTACATTTGAATTTGATATGCACCTAAGTATTTTTGATTTAGCGGTCAACAAATTTCCACAGAGAAATACACCACATTTTGTAGCTTTATCACACAAGATATTTAAAAAAAAAGCTACGTTACAGCACCTGACAATCTACAAAGGCTGCACGTGTATATGTACTTTGTTTGTATGTGTTTTTGTATTCGTATGTGTTGGGATTCTGTGTTAAATTAGTTAAACTGCTTTCTTCCAATTTCAGCATTGTTGTTTCTGTCTAGTATGTTGATTGGCGGCAATGATGACAATATTACACACTTCTTATAATTTTGTATACTTTTTGTTTTCCTCGTTCATTTTTTAAACTTTACGATTTACTGTTGTTTGTTTGCTGATTTATAGATATTGTTGTTCTTTGTAATAGTAGTAGTTTAGTAGTATTATATCAGTAGAAATCGCATAATTTACTTAAATGTCTAAAGAACGACGTCAGGCAGGTCGTGCGGCCTGGCCTAGGCGCGCATATGGTTTTCATGTACAATTTTTCTCTCCTTATAATAGATCTCCTCCGATTCCTTATCGCATAGCAGTAGCACAACGGCGCCGAATAGGAAGATAGCTGCACCCCAGCCAACACCATAGGCCCAACCAAATTCCCAAATTGGCCGATTCGCTGCAAAAAATAAAAAAAATATCCATTGTATATAAAGAGAGGTTAGAAATAAGAGAAGGAACATTTAAAGTTAATGTCCAGTGTAACTCACCCAAATTGAGTTCGCCAGCAAAACATACTGGATATATTATCAGCGCAGACAGGACAGCCAACACTAAAAGTATAGTATGAATTTAATATTTTTTGTATAGGTTTTGGCTTCAAAGGTTAAATTAAGAAATAATACATATGGTTATCAAATGTGCATTTACAGAGCATTTTTCTGGCAAATGTTAAAGAAGATAGAATAATCGTTCCCCCCCGACAGCCTACGTAGCCGGAACTACCCATATTTATATTTGGTCAAGGACTGTCACACCCGGCATCACTCCCCACAAACTCCGAAAAATTTGTATGCTATTGTAGTAGCATTGCTGTTGCAATAGCATACAAAGGATGATTTTGACAAGTGTGAGTTCTTATCGAAGTTCTTGGTTTCTGTAGGTTGGGCTTTCGTGCAGAACAACTAAATGAAGTCATAATTTTCTTAGCACAGAAAAAATTTGCAATTGCATAGTTCTTTCATCGAATGACACAGTCGCCTCGCCATTTGAAACATTCTTTTTTAATCTCAAGAGAATATACATAGATGGTAAAATTCACTAAGCTATTCATATTTAGGCACTTACATGATAACAGCATCACCAGCACAGCGATTCTGTAGAATTTGTATTTGACATTGTGATTTTGTGTTCTCAAACCCAGGCCAGTGAGTATGGTGGCAATCACATCAGTTATCAATGTGATTATACATAGAGCAGCTGTGGCTTTGATGTAAGCTGAAAAGAAATTAAAAGACCAACGATTATTCTGAAGTCAAAACTATCCGATACATAAAATCAACCAACACCAACAAATATTCTACATATTTACTTACCCACATCACGACTAGCATAACAACCCGGCGGATCATGTAGATTGAATGGCAGCGGCGATTCAACATCTTCCTCAATGCAGTGCACAAAGAGACCCTGACGCCAGCCAGCAGCCATTAACCAGTCCGTGGAAGCTAATGCCATGATCATCAGTATGACAACGATGACACCACATATAAATGCAATGACCTAGAGCGGAATAGTAAGTGAGAAATTATAATTGTTTAGCATTTGATTAAATTTGTAGCGTAAAAGGGAGTTTGTGTAGTTGTTACAAACCTTCAATGGCCTTGTGATTGTAATGGTTTCAATTGTTGTTGTGGGCGCCATTTTTGATGGTGATGGGCGTTGCGAGCTGTATACAAAATAATGAAATGAAAGCATAAACGTTAATCTCAATACACTGCAAAGGGAATGTATTTGAATGATTTAGGAAATAATGTACTTTTTTTTATCCCTTAAAGGTGGAAGCGAAGGAATACATAAATACATACCTTTTAAACTAATGCTCTTGAGCGTGTGTGTTAGTGGCAGGGAATTAGTGCACCCTTCTAACAAGAACAATAACAACGCAAGCGCAACAACACAATGTATGCTTGCATGTACAGCCAATGGCTTTGGCTTAGCCTACAGCTTTTTCGTGTTAAACGTTCGTTTTTTTTTTAACTTTAGCGTCTTTTTAATTACTGCACTCAGTTTTTAGCTGATTTTTTTTTTTAATATTTATTTCCACGCACTTCATATTTTTCTTTTCACTGCGATAAGTGTACGTTAAAGTTCTTTTTTAGTTCAATATTTGCGCTTAATTGTATGCCAATTTTAAATGCAAATGTTTTATTTGCTTTAAGCTGCTTAAGATCTGTTAATTTTGAGGGAACAGAATATATAAAATAAGAACAGGTTCATTCAATTAGTATTATCGAGAATCTTAAGGGAATTTCAATAAATGCAATTCAAAATTGATGATCAATTTACAACAGAACCATGCAATAACGAAATGTGGACTTAACACACTCATACACAGCATTCTTTTCGGACAAAATTTTTTAATAACTCTTGCATTATAACTATTGCAATCGAAATAGATTTAAAGCGTGTTTTTTATCTTACAAAATTGTGTAGCATTTGTCCGCAAATATGTATGGACGTATGCAAAACGCATTGTGATTGGAAAAAAGCAGTATAACAAATGATGATGCAAAATAAAACAGGTCTACAGTTGTTTACCTACAACCGGTACTTCATCGACTAAATGTATGTTTCTGGACCATCGCTTTAATGATCTTAGCTAAAATTTAAGGGAAGTAAAATTTGTCGACAAATAAACGACGGCTCCACAACTTCTGCTTCTCACTTTACTCCTCAACTGGTGCAAGAAATTTCACGTTGGCGTTTTGTTATCAAAGAAACTCCTCGTCCTTGAAGGTCCATCGAGGTTGACGAAAAAAAGGCATTTATTAAATCGAACCCACATAACACGATACGAGAAAGTGCAGAAACATTTAAACATGTCAAACAAATGTTCGATTTCGCCTAAAGAAGCAAACTCGAGAAATGGACTATATACAACAATGTGAAACGTCGAGGGTTTTGCCGCCGATGCGATGATTCACCTCAAATAACTTCCAAAGCCGACATTTACTTAACGAAGGTTATTCTCCGTAGGATGGGAGCACCGAACAATCGGTTGCGTAGTACCCACAACTGGACAGTTTGTATTAATCTTAATTAAGAAATGACCGGAGCTTGTCAATCGTAAATAAGGGAGTGTAACCACCACAAACATGCAAACCCAGCACACGCGCCTTTCTTCGACTTTTAGAATAATCGGTGACGGTATCACGCATTTTCTTTCATACAAAGTAATTTTTTATATGGAAAAGAGTGTATAACACCGTCAGAAATAAAATTATCAAAACCTAATGCGATTTTTTAGCAACCTCAAACTGTCACTTAACTTTGATTTTGATAAGCTATAAAACTGCAAGCCAAAAATTAATTTAAAAACTTGGAATTGTGATAAAAAGTTTGTACAATTTTTGAAATTATTGTACAAAGCATGACAAATAAATTAAAAACATACAAAAATACGCAATGACCTTCTACTCCACCTCTTACTAGGTACTAAAATCATAAGCTAAAATTTAAAATATGTACTATCGACAGCAAAAGTGCCTACATGCATATAAACACGTTGACACACTCAACGCTACAGAAGATTGGATCCAAACAAATTACTAAAACAACACAAATTGTCGTTGGTGTGTGGTGATATGAATAAAGAGCATAGAAATGGATGAGGCAGTGTACCAAGGTATTGTGTTAAAGGGCGCAACTTCCGCATTTGAATACTTTGTTTATGTTTAAAAATAGAATAACAATTAAAAAAGCTACACAGAGCTGAAGTAGAAAGACGGATGTATGTATGTAGTATGTACACATGTACATTTTGCTGTAGATAAATGCAAACTATGGAGCATTTGATATGCAGATGTAGCTAAAAGAAACCAACAAAATATGCGCAAGGCATGTTAGAGCATCAAAAATATGGCCACTTACAAAAAATTCGTTTCATTTCACATGGACATTGTATGCACTTACATGTGAATGTTCGTTATTTTTAGAATACGTAAATTTGCATGTAAGAACGATTGTTTTTTATTTCCGTACAATTACTAAATTCGTATAGGAATTACCAAATAGGGCGCATACATGCGGGTAGCAACAGTAATAAGAGAACAAAAAACCCAAAATCAGCAAGCTTAAAATATGTATTTATTTGAAAAGTTACACGGCGAGTGATGTGTAAATAAAAGAATATAAAACAATTTTCATATTACTGCTAAAAAATATGTTAATTATGCGCGAATAAATAATGGATGTTTGTAAGTAAATAGTAGCGCATACATACATAAGTATGCCTGTGTAGTGAAGCAACTGCAAGCAAAACAATAGGCAGAAAACGTTTGGGGAATGTAATTATGGGCAGATGAGATAGATGTGGCTTATGTATGTACATATGTATGTATGTTCCTATGTATGTACATATGCGCAGATCTTTGCATTGTGCAATATGTAGTGGCAGATGCAAAGCCATGTACATACATACCAATTATTCTTTATACATATCCAGGTAGACAGACATTTGAAATACAAATTGGCCTACCTTCTCACCGGACATTGGCGTACCTTTCTTTGAAGTAATCCAAAGTAACCGATTCCGAGTCAAATTCTGAACATTCAGGCAGAGAATCACTATCGAAGGAACTAAATCCACCCAGATTTATGTTGGCAATTGCATTTTTGCTAAAAACAGATTGTTTTTGTGGTTGGTTCAGCTGTGTCTGTTGCTGCGCCAACTTGTCTCCACCTGCGTCTCTGCTAGACATCTTCGTTGTTCGTACACAAAATTATGCACTTATATGGAGACACTTGAAACGATAGGGAAGTTAATGTTTTCCACAAATTTGATATTTTATCATCAATACAAATATGTAAATTATAAAACAATTTAGCACTTTCTCTTTTATCTAAAAAAAATTTTCGCAGATTGTTCCTTGAGCCTTGATTTCTCCTTTCCCCTTCGAAATTGTCTATTTTGAATCACACATCCATCCACACGCACATACACACCAAAATGGCGACAGTATCACTGCAATTCGCTACTTTTCAATGTCATTTTTGCAAATTTTACACATATAACTTAATGCACCCTTACATTTTCAATAGATCCACACTTTGCTTTATCGTTTAGCAAGAAGATTTAAATTTAAATAAAAACTAAATTATAAAAAATCAACGTTTTTCTACTTTCGCGTCGCACATAAACAATCGTCTCCGAAAATTTCTCCACTTTGCTGCTTCTTTTAGAGCTGGGATACTATCGATAGTTGAAAACTGTCGCCACTATCGATAGGTTTTGAAAACTATCGATGTCGGTTTTAGCAAGACTTTACAATGTCTCATCTTCACTTCTCCACACATTACATTCGTTTTTTTTTATACAAGAAAATTCACAACACAGTATATAACTTATAAGTATAAGTTGTCAATTTAAACGAATATCTTTTATTTTGTTTGTTTTGTAGTATTATAAATGTATTTTTATAGCCAATTTCACTTTTTTGCACTTCAAAAGGGACAAATAAAATTCGAATTTAATTTTGCCAGATAAAAAATAAATTCAGATTTTGCCTGTCGCTATTCAAGGCATATAAGTTATATAATTCAGGCGCATAAATTGATAAGTTTATTTTATTATTATAAGAAGTTCTTTTTGATGCACTCAAATTTAAAAACATTACACAATCTCTTTAATTTACAAAGTAATTTATAAATTTTATAAATTTATTAATTATTTAATTTTCAATCGTTTCAATTCAGTACATACCTTTCACGACGATAGTACTATCGATACTATCGATGTTTTCAACTATCGTTTCGAAAACTATCGAATGGCGGCACAATCGATAGTATCACAGCACATGAAGAGATGAATTCGCTGCAGTGTTGGGCATTAAATATTGAAGAGTTGCATCCGCTAAAAGCTTAAACAGACGGCTGCGTTGATCAGGACTAACTCAGAATTGATCCGTATCAACTGCAGTTAATTCCCGTGTTGATCCGGATAAACGCTGCCGTCTGTTTATGCTTTAAAAGCGATTGCAAAATGTTTGTGTAAATAAAAGGGCGTTTCCACGCAGCCCTAATTGGGCAATTTCGAAATGAAATTGAAGGTTTTTATAATAAATTCAGACAAGCTTAATTCAGTCAATTAACGTTATTATTGAGCTATTCCTTATTGTCACACGCAGTAAGCTGCTGTTGCACTCATGGAAAAGTTGGTACAATCGTACTTTCATTTAGTTTGAAAGTACATTCGGTACAAACACACCATTTTAGGTACATTTTCGTTCAAATTTCTGGTGTGGCCATCTGATAAGGTGAAATTTAACCCTGTGTAGGTATAAGAGTGAGAAAGAACATTTGACACTATATTATTTGAAAATTTACTTGAAAAAAATTCTATAAGATAGCCGAATTTCAAGAAAATTAAGAGAATAAAGCGAGAGAGCTGTTTTATTACTTACAGCACCTGTTTATAATTTCCCCATGCGCCTTGATCAAGAATCAATTTCAATCTCAATTTCGATGACAGTTTGTTTATTTTGTTTTTATTTGCTTGTGATTGACCTTCGATGTTCTTCTTTTTATTTATTTACAATTCATAATAATAATTTTCGGAGTTTATTCGTGAAGTTGAGGCAATTTCGTCTCAATTTCGTTGAAATCATGCATGACAATGTAAACAGACATAATGACTATTTTTATAAAAGTAATGGCACAAGAATTTTTTAATGCCCAACATTGATTTTAAAAATGTTGTAATTTAATGGCTGGTGGAAATTCAGCATTAGTAAGAACATTGGTAAAAAAAAACAAATATTCGTTTGTAGAAGGTAGACTAATAAAATGCGCTGTGAAAATCTGATTTTCCCAAATATTCAAATGTTTATAAAATGTATAATGCGTGTTTTATTTTACTTCTGGCCTCCTCATTTCGCCACAAGCAGCTGTCAGTTTTTATCGCAGACGTCAACAAGCAAATGTCTACCGCTGCGTGTGAGTGTGTGTAGTTGTTTTTTCTTCTATTTGTGCTGAAATCGTCCATGAAGCTTTGCTTTTGTTTTGTATTATTAATCGAAATTTTTAATAAAAATCGGGCCGGTAATTTTTATATATTAATCGGTAACAGCAATAAAAATGGAGGCTACATCAGAGTCAATCAGCCGATTGCTAACAGGCGGCTCAGCTGAGGAGTATCTACAGTGTCCTACGTGCGAGTGCAAGCTACAGCATTGGGAAGTGAAGCCACACTTTGACCAGGAAATGGAGCGCTTAAAACAATTACAAATGAAAGCAGTAAGTGAGGCAACTGTCGAGTTAACACAGCAAAGTGCTAGCAATACAGTGGTACATAATGAGGAGCGACGTAAGCCTTGGACTATATTCCAGCGGGTGCAACGAAATCGGCATACACGTCTCAGGGTATGTTGAATCTATAATAAACCATATTTACTTATTCTAGATAAATATTAATCTGCAGCGAAGAACTGGTAAACGCCCCCCACCACCAACCGAACAGCAATGCCCAGTGTGTAACGCCTCTTTCCCATTAGAAGAAATAGAGCAACATGCAGAACAGTGTCTACGCCGCACTAATGGCGCAGTCAATGGTCCTGATGGCGGTAGTTCAAGCAATGAAGACGAGAATGGCGAGGAATACGAAGAATATGAATGGGCTGGCCAAAAACGTATACGTGTTTCTAGTCTCTTACAAGGCGGTTATGCTGCAATCGGCGTAGGACAGTCTGTAACAAACCACAGCGCTGGCAGTGTCCCAAATAACACACAGATTGGCGACGAAGAGGAAGAAGATTTAAACGTAGACGAGGATGACACTCATCTATATGGGCCGGCGCAGTACGCTGAAGCTGACGTTATACCACCCATAGCGGAGGAGAATGGCAATAGTGCAGATGGTGATGTTACTAGTTACATGCGACGTCTAATAACTGGCTCTACCGAAACAACTCTAATGAGCGCTAATGCGACGGAGTTGCAACGCGCAATTAATAGTACTAATACGTTAGCTGCAAATATAGAATTAAGCATTCCACGGGCTGACCTAACTGCCGATTTGGTTTCTAAAGAAAAGCAAGAACTCACATCACATACTGTTGCGCAGCAATATAGTTCGCAAATAATAGAGTCATTGAAAAGTAAATTGCGACATTATGAAAATCAAGTGCAGAATAAGTTTAAATGCTTGATTTGCTTAGACGACTACCGAAATCCAGCTATATCGGTAGCTTGCTGGCACGTACATTGCGAAGAATGTTGGCTGCGCTCGCTAGGAGCACGAAAGCTCTGCCCACAGTGCAATTTGATTACAACACCAAAAGATTTACGTAGAATTTATATGTGAAAAAAGCGTAGTAATACAAGTATTTGGTAGAAGTATAATAAGTTTCCTACGTATACGGATTTTAAGATTTATTTAAATGCAAATGTTTTTCATTTCAGTACATTTGAATCAGTTTTATACAATTTTTCGTATTTTCATGCAAATTTATACACTTATACATTTGAGATAAGCGTGATATGTTAAAATAATATAGCTAGTATTTAAGAAAACAGATCCGAAGCTGTGTTGCAGTTACAATAAAAATACAAGACATTAAGCTGTAAGAAATTGTGGTAAACATAAATAACGAACACTTCATTGAATTTTTTTAATTCTACATCTCTGAAGCAAGTTGGCGAGGAAAGTGTAAGGGATCGAATAGTATAAGAATTTCTAAGACCCGTCGTTTTTTGCGGCTACTTAATCTTCCTTCAACACAAATGTCTTTAATCGTCGGAGTTAAATTGACGGTATTGAAGGCTTCTTGAATAAGAGAAGTTTAAAAGGCAGGTAAAGTGTTGATTAGTCTCATTCGGGTATCAGAGTAAGAGGTTTAAGGAATGCTGCTGGACCAGAGAACGCTGCTGGAGTGACCGACCTTATGCAGGTATACATACATACATACGTACATACATACATCCCTGTAGTGAAGATTTCAGTTAAAAGTAGTTTTAGCAAAATATTTTATGTTTAATTGGTTTTTGAATATCCGGCGGCAAAGGTTAGCCGCTTAAGCCGTTTTGAGGACTTTCGCCAATCCGTGCCCTCAAATTGGTGCTCCCTTAAATAAGAAAATATTTCATCTTCTGTTTTCATGAATCATTGTTTGCTTTTTTTTATCGAATACCTTGATTTTTAATCTAATCTAATAGCTTATTCGCTACTACTTTACCGTTATTCTTTAAATCCTTATTCTATTTAATTAAAATTGCAACCTCTTTTACATACAGTAACGCTACATAAATTGTACATAAATCTTTAGAAAAACCCCTCCCATTTACGGCAAGAGACCGGCATTTTGTAAAATGCGAATCTTGTGTCGCTTTTGTGGTTCCGTTTTTCATTTCCACTCTCATCTTTTTTCCGTTCGTAAATATTTACGACAGAGAACGTAATTAATTTACGATCACTCTTTCAGCAAGCCCAACACACACGCATGAACGAAAGACACAAGATCACGTAAGAACAAGAGATTTTTTTAGCGGGTTCTACGCCATCTTGTTTCACTGGAAAACGAGCGAAAAGTAAACAAAGCAAAGAAAACAACGAAAACCAAAATTAGCCAAAATTATTGTCAGCTACTTTAAACGCACAATTTAGGTAAAATGATGCAACAAAATGCTTTAAAATGTGTTGTCATGTTGAATTAACTCTTCTTTACTTGAATAAAAATGTAAAATAGTGGTGCTTGTGATGTAAACAAACGCTCAGCTGACGAACCCGCTTTCGCAAACTTTTTTCTCAAAACCAGTTACAAATACAACGTCGCGTTCTTACGTGATCTTGTATTTTTGGTTCATGACACACACGCAGAATTGAAAATATTTGTAAACGTTCAAAATGACCCAACAAGCATTTCAGTAAAGCTGATGCCAGATAAAACTTTGGGGCTTTGATATTTATAACTCTGACAGCAAAGCGCCAGACGCAAAAGGTATAACACAATGATCGCCAAGAAAACAGTTCGAACATTCCTAACTACAAGCTTCGAGTTGCCGCAACACAAGTTTCCGTGTCTTATTTCTCAGCTTATTTCACAAATTATTTTATGGGCACTGTCACACGGTCAGTATTTATTGACGTGATCAAAGTAACGCGATATTTATTGACGGTGTAGCATGCAGTATTAATAGATCGTGATCCATATCGCAACATTTCTAAAAACTTTGAAATCTGGATCGCGGATCGCAGTACCGTCAATAAATATTGAACGTGTAGCACTTTCAAAACGCGATCCATACATTTCGTCAGTAATCTTTTACTCTCATGATGCGAACATCGAAAAGATATTCACTCTGCCTTCATTCTAGGCGCTTAAAACCTTTCAAGTGAAATTGAAAAAATTTTAATTAACCTTGGAAATTTCAAAATAATTGTGGAATGCATGTAGCATCCGTGCGTGATCCATCAATCCATTAATATGGATCGCGATCCAAATATCGTGATAATTACTGACCGTGTGACAGAGTCCTATAACGCAATCACGTAAAAATTTCTGGGGTATATTTCGCCGCCAATTCGCAACAAATCAACGTCGTTTTCATCTGACAGCTCGCACGCTGTTTCTCCCTTGCCGCAGTAATTTGTAGCAACGCCGTTATTAAGGCGAATAGTTCGGCATCAGAGTCTGAACTTTCGACAACGCGGAATGCAATAGATTCGGAATCGGGAATGAAAACAAATAAAAAATATATATTTTTTATTACATTTTGGTGTAAACTTTTTTGGAAATATTTAATTTAGTACATAAGTAAAGTGTAAACGATAAGCGTAAGTAAATTGAAGCTAAACTTAGTGAGTTTTACTACACCAATAATATGCTGATACATTGAGGAGGAGGAGTATATATGTAGCAGAAACGGAAATGGTTGAAAATTGCTGGAAGCAATAGAAGAGCGAGCAAAAGAAGTGGCTAGAAACTTGTACAAAGTAGGAGAGGTGCAAAGCAATACGATAGTAATAGCAATAAAAATAAAAATATATACCTGTTCGTTGTGGAGGAGGTGGAGGATCTGCACGAGGAAGGCACCAATCAACGAAGAAGGAATTGAAATTGACGCAAGCAAAAAAGGCCATTAATACGAAGGCAACGGGCAAGTGAACGACGAAAAGCTGGATGTGCGCTTGCAGGAAAATCGCGCACAATCTGCCAGTCAATTTGTAGGCATAAAATACGTTTTCTGTGCGCACGAAAGTAGTTGGAGAGGCAAAAGTGCATAAGATAAATGAATAAAAAGTTATAAAATTATAATAACACGCAAAGTCAATTCAACGAAAAAGGAGCTATAAAGCAAAGTGGCTGGGCATTTGTGCGGTGCAGTATCGTGTCGCCATGTTTCTGTGTGTGTAATTGGGCGTGTTCATGTGTTTGTGCACTAGCAGTGAATACGGGCAAAGGCAAAAGTGAAAACTTGCTTTTTTGTCATCGTGGTTGCCATCATCGTGGCCGTTGTCGTTGTAGTCGTCGTCGTCGTTGTACCGTCGATGTATTTTCGCATTTTTCGCGACGGCAAAACTACGAGTGTATTTGGCAAAATAATCAGCCAACCAACCAAAAAGCCAGCCAGCCAGTTTTGGCCGCGGCTTTGTATTCGGCAATAAAAAAATAAAGTCAAATTCCTGGAACTCGAATTCGCAAAGGCGCGCGCGTGTTTTTCGCACAAAAACCTTTAGAGGATATTTGCAATTCAAACCCACTTGAAAAATAAATTGCAAGTGTTTGAAAAATTATAGTGCTGCTTACTGGCCAGTGAATTGGAAACACTCCAAAGTTTTATGTATATTCGCACAGAGGGGGGGCCATTCGTGCCAGCCATAGCATTTGCCACCGCAACGCTAGACCACAGCGGCGGGATTATGTCATTTTGTATGTGTTTGTGTGTGTGTGCGAAATTCCAACCAATTATTGAATCGGAGTGCCATCAAGCGCCACAAAGATTCTAATCTGTAAATGAACTATGAAATTTCCAATAGTGTTAAAAAAAACGTACACGAAGATGTAGCGCAAACCAGATAAGTGTGTAACTAACAATTTTAAAATCATAGGGCAGAGAAAATCTGCATTTTAGAAAATGTATCCAGCGTATTTGCGCCGCAATTCTGTTGTTGGCGACGCAATCCACTATGAAGTACCCCACAGCACAAAAATCAGCCATTTGCATTTTAGCGACGGCATTTTAACACAAAGCCGCCGGCTATTTGAATATTTTCGAAAGCAACACCATATGTAATTAAAAATCAAAACTAACACTTAACTAAAGAAACATTTGTAAATACCTACCTACATACATATTGTAATCCTGTTTGTGCGCGTAGTTAAATGGCAACATTCAATGGTCATAGTACTAACACTGCTGCGGATTTGCTGGGCTCATCGGTTGCCGTCGCTGCTGCCACAGAGCATTTCGAACGTAGCACAGCTGCGGCCACCACCACCTTCTTAGTGCCCTCCACAGCGACGGCCAATGGTGCGCCATTACATTTGGAACCTTTCAGTCTTGCAGGCGGCCCACACTTTGTCACAACAACTACATCACCATTGGGTGGTGCAACATCGGCTCAACACCATCAGCATCAGCATTCGCATTCACAGCAACAGCAACATCATCACCATCATCAACAAACCAATTCAACTTCAACCAGTTATACATTTGTACAAATCAAACGCGAACCTTGCCAAGTTTCGGAAGTGACATCCGCCAATTGCCATCAAACACAGCAGCAACAGCATCATCATCAGCAACATCACGTGTCTACATCATCGACAAGTGGCGGCGGAGGTGGGCTCGGTGTTGGTGTTGGCATGGGCGTTGGTGTGGCCTCATCAACGTCCAGTTGTTCTGCTTCCATATCAGCCGCTTCCAAGACTATGTCCTCATCGTCCACGCTGACAACGCTTGTAAAGATAGAGGCTTCTTCGCCGAAGGTGAACGAAATGGATAAGACGTCAAATGTGAACACACTCACCGGAGCGGCCACAATGCCAAACACAAGTATGTTAATATAAAAAACAAAAAAAAAAAAATAAATAAATTCATCTATTCCGTACAAGCATATTACCTATCTACATACAAACTATACTGTGATACAAACATAATGTTTACCACTCCTCACTCACTTTCCGTGAATTTTAAAATATTGGGACTACAGTGAAGCGTCTGCCTTTGTGGCTTTCTTTCGCACTTTTGTTTTTTGCTTGCAGATAACACAGTGCCCATTGGTATTGCCGTGGCGCGTAAGCGACCACAGGAAACGGCGGGCACACTCTCCAGCTCTACAGCCATCCCGGTGCAACAGACACTTAACAAGGATATGAATTGCTTTGGTATACGCGTAGCGGATCTGGGTAAGTTTTATTTATTCTTTGTCTGAGTGAAATCCATATTTGTAAACATTTTAGAAGTTGCATACCTTAGATACACAGAATAGGATCTCATTTATACACATGGATTGTTATAACTAAAATATTTAAGCTACGGTGTCTTGTTAATGTGTTTGTTGTTGTTGCTGTAAAAGCATAAATATTTTCCTAAAAGTTTCGGAGAAAGCATTCGATAAAGAATAGCGCTATGGTGAATTTCTTTCGTTTAGGTTGCTTACAATAGTTGCGATCCCATACGGGTCCCGACTAGTCAGAAATAGTCAGAATAAGTCAGATTTTACTGGAAATCGGTCCCGTACTCGGTTCTCTGACTATTGAGAGGACAAAAAAGAGAGTAAATAAGGTCCTCTCTCTGTCAGAAGTTATCAGTATTAGTCCGAAGATATTTGCAGGTAAATGCTGGTAAATGTGTCAAACGATCAGCTATAGTGTGTTTGGCAACCAAATTGTAAAAAAAATGCACTCTGCTAATTCATGTTGAAAGGTTTTTAATTACTTGTTTAAGTGGATTATAATGAATTTGAAAGTATTTTTGGTTTTTTACATGTGTGAGCTGACTGTTAACATACAAAATAAACAAAAATTTATAACTAAAATTTGGAGGTTATGTTGAAGTTGACAGCAGTTACCTTTTTTACTAGAAAACGATCCCGTAGTTTTCAATGTTACTCTCTCGCTCTGAGCGAATTTTTATTTTTTGACAGTTTTACTAGTTTTAGTCTGAGGAATACGGGATTGCGCCCAAAATGTATTCAACAAAGTGTGATTGATTTTTACATTGCTCTCATAAGAAACAGGCTATAATGTCAAACTGAAATGAATTCTTAACCCATTTGAAAATATATTTTTTTTCAAATTTGAATTTGTTTAAAAAAAATTTACACAAAGATTTTTCAAGCAACAAATTTTCTTAATAAACGTGAAATTGTTAAGAGATACACCACCGAGGAAAGCAAGAAAGTACATTTAAAGTTTGGTTATAAGTAAATACGTTCGACTTTGCTTAAATATTTAATGTAAGGAAACCAAGATGAAACGGAGCAAAACTTTTGGACGGTGCGCAGTGTGCAATAGAAGTCAGGACACGAAAATAGTGCGATGTTTTAAACCACCTATTTGCGAGTTAAGACGTCAGCGATGTGATGTACTACGTGATTCATCTCGCGTTTGTGAAAACCACTTCAAAGAAAGTGATTTCATTTGTTGTCCGTCCGGGTCAAGCACTTTCAAACGAGCTCGTTTATACCCAAACTATTTCGCATAAAAAAAAATAAATTCCAAATTGTTAGAGTTAAGCTCTCATATCAAATTGGAAAAAATGAAAAATCATACTTTTATAAGTGTCGAATAATGGTTAGGATAAAAATTTTAAATATAAAAATAAACGCACAAAAGCATAAAACTTGGACAATTAAAAGCAAGAAAATTTCTAAAACGATTTTATAAACAATTTGTTTTATTTTATTGACAAAATATATATATTCCAGGTAATGTAAGTAAAACAAAACTATAATCAAAATAAAAGCCTTGGGTATCAGTGCTGACAAGATACATGCAACACTAAGGGTTAATTCGTTTGTTTATACTTTTTGACATTATACTACCTTAAAAGAGAGTCGCACTGTGTTGTCAATAGGTGCGTTCGTTTAAATTCTCCAGCAGAAACCAACCAACTGCCAAATTCCGGCGAAATGTCATCTGTTCGCTCACAAGAGAGAAATATCCAAAATAGTACG